TTTTCTTTTTTTTCTTTTCTTGGCCTGCATGTTTGCTTCTACAGGAACCTGCTTGGGAAATCAATGGCAACAGAACAACCTTCAGCCCTCTAACTAACACGGCGACTGGGCCTGTGGGTAGTGGTTTAGCAACCAATGGAACGTTTTCAGGCTACCTCAACCAGCAAGAGATCAGCTTTTCCAATAGTTCTTCCTACTTAAAGACTACCACAGTTAGATCTTCCATGTCCTCTCAGTGTGTGACTCCTGACATTTCACCTGCAAAGAGTACTCTAGGTTCCAAACCAAGCCCTGTGCTGGCTGGTGGCAATAGCCCTGCCCACCAGCTGAGCCCTGCAAGGCAGTATAACAACCCCATTGGCCTTTACTCAGCAGAGACTCTCAGGGAAATGGCTGAGATGCATAAATTAAGTCTCAACCGAAGGGCTTCAGAAGGTGGACTTCCTAGAGGGTAGGTAACATTTAATATTTCAATAAGTAATGAATTTGCTGAAAAATGAATGTAATAGGACCTACCCTATTGTGTATTTGTCTGGTAATCATGATTAAGGTCTGAAACAACCATTAAATTTTCCAGTAACCCCCAAGATATATTCACATTATCATCACAGGATAACTCTTGGTCTTTGGTATCTGAAGTGCAACATGGATTGCAATAGTCACCAGAGCATGAGGAGGAACACTAGGACTGAAGTGACTGTGATCCTCTCGGGGTTCTGGCGCTCAGCAGTTTTAACTGCTGCCTGTAGTCTCATGGAACCAAGTATTGCTGTTGGCCTTTAGAGCAGCTGCTGTCAACCAGCTTTGGTATTTTGCTAAAGACAAATGGTTTGGACCAGCAAATCTGACATGCTCGGCCACTGGAATGTCCTGCTGTATTTCCTGCCTTAATGTATGGGCTTTTCTGTGCAAAATGAGTCAAAACTGCAATATTTTGGACATTATCTGTTTTGGACGTTGTCTGTCTTGCATCCATTAGCTTTGCTGTTAACTTATATATGACAACAAATGATCTCTAGATACTACCCAGACAGTTTGATCCCATGCTGTCCAAGGTTTTACACATTACTTTATTGCAGATCAACTCTTGTTAGAAGCTTTGTTAAGTCAGGACCTTGGACTACAGTACATGAGAAAGGGCAATGAGAAACAGGTTTTCCTAATTTTCCTGCCTTCTTGTATTAATTGGCAAACAAATATAACCTTTTAGTTTGTCTGTTTGTGTTTTGGGTTTTTTAAATGAAGATAAACTTTTTATTATGAATATAGGGAACAGTGTATGTTTGACACTAGGGACTTGGCTATACAAGGAAAACCAGAAAATTTAGACAATCCACTGAGGTCTGGTAGCAAATGCATATCTTCAGGTTCTTTATATCTCTTTGAAGGAACTGTTTGCAAGAGCAAAATCAAGGGGTTTTAAGTTGTAGAAAAGTAAGGATATTTTATCCTTATAAAAGAGCATAAATTCGTGTTCTAGATGATTCAGGCAGTTTATATGATTCATTGCAACTCTCTTGAGGACTCGGCATTAACAATCCTAATTAAGTTATCTGCAAAAATCCTATCCTCCCTTCTCATGCTGGATAATTAAGAAAAGCAATTTCTGTTTAGAAGAAAATTATTTCAGTTAGCAAAATCAGCAAAATAAACCTCAGAATGCTTCTCTCTTAATTTACAGTTTTCTTGAAGAATACCAATCCTTGTATTTTTTCAATATACAGAGTTTCCTGGGAGTATATCTCGCTATCTTTTTCCCACTGTCTTCACAACCCTCAACATCTGCAAGGGTGAGGGTGAAAGTGGCTGTATTTTGGATAGCTCAGCATTGTGACTGTTTGTTATCAGAATTACAACACAGCTGCATCCATCACTCATCAAAGTCTATGGGAGCCCTTCTTTTCATGCCAGAGGGCTTTGCAATAGGACTGCATGATATCACAGTGATTAGTGGGGTGCAAAAAAGGTGTACCTGCAGAAAACACTTCCCTGTCTTCACTCTGCTGCTTTTCCATGTTTTATGTTCCCTTTCTATGTGAACTTTATTCAGTGCCCTGAATTACAAAGCAAAGTTCTACCTTAGAACAACCATCTGAGACTTTTATCTTTTTTTTAGTTTGAACAAAATTTTAGGGAGTTTCTGTCTATCTACCTGTAATATCAATAGCACTGATGAACAAATAAGAAAATTTTAAAAGTCAGCCTTTATTCTGCAGCCCAGGAACATTCTGAAAAGAGGAAAGAGCCCAGAAGCACTAAATAAATGTGTCTTCTCAGGTAACTCTTCTGAGATCTCTGTTTACATGCAGAGAAAATTCAGAGCTCAAGAATGCTGTGATTCTCACTCCCACTTGACTGTTACCCATGAACTGAGGGGCATCTCTCCTTCTGCTCTCTGCAGAATAACACATAGAACCTTTAACTTCCTTGGGACTCAGGATCATCCATGATAATCTCAATCTTATAGTGGATATTTGGGAAAGAATGCACAGGGAAAGCACTGTGAGCTCTGCAAGATCAGCTCTAGACTTCACTGGGGACATTGTTATCATACAGTACAACATGAGGTGCTGTGTAAAAGATTGTGATATTATGGTGCTCCAAATCTATGAATTAATTGTGCTTAGTATGGTAAGAGCTGTTAGAAAAATTCAGGTGTGGGGGGTGATCTTAAGGTGTATTTCACGTTTCAATGCCATGTCCTTTTCACCAAGTGATTTAATCTTGTGTGAATTGCTACTAGAGGTTTATCTAAGCCCTTTGGAAAATTCTATCAAGGAACTAAAATTAATTTTGAGATTATTTCCTTGATCTGTGAAGAATAACAAAGCGTCTGTCTGTCTGATACACTTTACATTAAAGCTTCATCACCTTCACCCAGGGTAAAACAGTGGTGGCCTGTTAAGAGTGTGGAATGTGATGTGCTGGAAGCTCTGGAGAGTATTAATAAATATGAAGAGTGAGTCATAGTTTGTAACATGTGGATCTTTCTCATTCCAGTGTGAGTTGCTTTTCACAGTGTAGGTCAAGAGCAGTAAATACCTGTCCCACAAGTGCGTGCCAGGTGGTTTGGGTTACTGGCTTCTTACCCTGTGACCTCTGTGAGCAGAAACTTGGGTGTTTCATACATCTACAAATTTAGAATCAAAGTAATGTGTGGCTCTGAACTGGGGGGAATTTTCTCATCATATACTAAATATAAGGAGAAACAAAGCTTTGCTCTTTTTGAGGGAAGCTGTAGTAGCCTCTTCATATCTCAAAATCTTGACTGAGACATGTCTGTTGAATCTTTAGTGTGTGCACGTGATGATTTTTATCTTTTAATAAATTTTAACAATATGCAAACATATTCCTCTAATTCAGTTTTGTTTTAGGAATGGTTGTTCTGCCTTTAAAGTATTATTTTATGTGTAAGGTAGAGGCCTGGATTAGTCAGAAAATGATACTATTACACTGTTTCTTTGTCAATGAGTGTCCAGCTGTCCTGCATAAACCTAAAATGGATATAGGATCACTAATGTGCTTACAGGATGCAGCTTGTTCCTAATATATCTCTACCAGTTCCTGTAACAAACTGATACATTTGGCTTAATGTAGGGTTTTTACCTGAGAGTCTGATCAGTATCTGCAGAAGGTGATCTGTGATTGTTTTACCATGGAAATGCAGAAATGCAAAGCCTTTACCACAGCTTGGCTCATTGGAGTGGTTTTGATCATGACAGAGGCTGTTGGATGAGCCGAGGCAAAATGACTGTATATGTAGAGAGAAAGAGTAAAAGCAAAGGTTCTGCCAGGCAAAAGCAGAAGGAGACAAATTCACTTGGAATGTCACTCCAAAAGCATAACTTTGCTGTCCAGTATTTTCTATCAATCCTGAATACAGAAGTGCCACAGCAGCAAGCTGGAAGGTTTAGTGCCCAGTTCTGTCGATAGCATTCTGTGCAGCTAAGTAAGAAGAAAAGTTTATTAACTGATCCTGGATCTCTTCCTCTTTATTGTGCACAAAATATGATGGATTACTCTTCAACCAAGAAAAGACCAAAATTTGGGTACTTTAAGATCTGAGAAAACTAAGTTAAAATAAACATCATAGGTCGTTATTGCTATTTGTTATTAGCAAATGCACCACAGTTCAGTGTGAGCACACTGTCCATCACTCCCAGCTGTGGCTGGTTTGTGCTGCTCTGGAATTCCTGTGCAAGCCACCGTCAATTGTTCATGCAGCAAAGCAGAAATGGAGCATGAACATGTGTTTTTTTCATCCTGTATTCATACCAGATCAATAAAATATCCTGATATCCATATCCCCAAAAAACACATAATGCACAGCTTGCTTCATTTCATGTGGAATAAAATGAGGAATGATTCTTCTGAGGCTAATTGGCTTACACCACTGTTGATGTAATGTAAGTACAGTCAGATTTAGGCCAATACTTTTTTAAATACAAAGGCATTTTCCTTAGTTTTAGATTTAAAACATCTACCAGTATATTTTTTGGATCTTCTCCAGTATGTTAAAGACCAAAAAATCGGTCTTGCAAAACCAACTCTGAGGGTGGCCTGAGGAGAACAGACTTCATCTCTGAATATTTAGTATCTGAGCGGAAAAATATAATTTCTACCACTCATATGCTATTTTCGGATGAGAATATACTCTGCAAATCCTTTTTTATTCCCTCTGCTCCCTGCCCCTCCCCATACACTTAGGTAGTAGTACTTTTAGGGATGTACAGCAATAAAATCACGTTCAAGGGTCAGCCAAAATACCATGGTACCCTACTAAGTCCTAGTGGATCAAGTATAATCCCTACATTTTTTCCTTTCTTAATCACGTTGGGGTTTTTAGGCATACATTTGCTTTTTGTTCTTATTTGTAGATGGTCTGAAAAGAGCCTGTAGCAAGCTTTCATAAACACCTTTCGCCCTTTGCACTCTAAAAACTATTGACTTTTTCTGTGTGGTTGGTTTTGATGTTGTTTGTTCTCTTTCTCTTCTTTTAGGTCATAACCAACACCGCTGCCAAGTTAGTATCACTTCTGTATAGTGCCAAATGTTTGTGTTCTGCTGTGTATGTGAAGATGTGTTTTCTGGGGTAGCATGATCCCCTGTGCTCCTGCTGTGTCTGCTTGCAAGTGGAAGTGTTTTTCTAAACATCTGCTTGGTTTGGCCAGCATCATGTGCTGCCTCTGGCGTCCAGCAGTGCTCCCTTCTGAGCACACCGGGCACTTGGCATTTTTTGGTGATGCTCTAATGCTGTGAGTGGAGTTGGCATCTGAGCCTGCTCAGTTCTTGCAAAGGCTTTCAGGAGTGTTTGCTTCTACAGTCCAGGTCTAAGTCCTCTTAAATCTTTCAGTAGCCTTCATGCCTTCAGAGTTTTTTGAGAATTATCTGAGTCTTTTTTGGTGTATTATTAACAATGTGCTTTGAGCTTTAACATTAAATTAATTTCCAAAGCCCCACCCTGCTAAAATTCAAATTCAGGTTGATATGAGATACCAACCTGATATGGAAAAAAATCCACAAACTCATTTACCTTAGTAAATGTATTGCCCAAACACGAAATAACTATTGATTAGAAAATAATCTGCTTTATTTAAGAAAGTTCACAAAGTCCTCAGTTTTGACCTAAAGTTTTCTAAGGGCAGAGGTTTATCTCTAAACTCTCACTTTCTGTCCCTGAAATGACTGTTTTATCCAGAAATTTCTAGAGACTGGGTTAAACTCAGCATAAAGTAAATAACTCTAATAGTTAAATGTGAAATTTAAACTGACAATACAAGGTTAGAAGCAGTAGAATACATAAAAGTTGAGATAACATTTAATGCACGTAATTTACACTGATCTGGCATTTTCAGTTGATTTTAGTGAGGTGTGGGTGTGATGTCAGGCAAATGCTGGAACTCCTTTGGTGTGACAAACTCTGGCCAATTTACACTGGTAATTATTCTGACACAATTGTCTTAGAAAGCAGAAGTCACATTGTAGGGGTGTTTTTAATCTTACTTGCTTTGGCATTTATTTTTCCCGTCCTCTTATAGTTGAGGAGAAAGATCCCATTCATTTTGCAGCAGTGCTCCAGCTGTTTCTGCAGCCTTACCTCTGCCACTTTGTCCTAGAGAGCAGCACCCCTTACAAGCACTAATATCTTCTCTTGACCTCCAGAGTTATAAAGAAAACTCTGCAGTTGAAAATCTGTCCCTTTTTCTGTTAGTTTTATGGGAATCCTGTTAAACTCAGTTGAAGTTTTGCCTTGGTGTGTGTAACGTGACTAAAACCTCTTGAAAGACATCACTGAAGCTGTTTAAAGACCATAAGTGAAAGCCCAAATCACTCCTGCTGCTACTGTGAGGGAAATTTAGGCTGTTCTGACATTACTAGCTTTGATTTCTGTAGTTGTGGAAACCAACTGCTTAGAGCTTCCTTCTGTAAAGGTGACATATTTAACCTCTGTCCTTTCATTCACACAATCTTCTCAGATCCTGGGTTTAGAATCTCTTCAATACTTCCAACAGCATGGAGGAAAGAGAACACTAAACTCAAGATCTTGAGGAGCTGTGTGTTTGTAATTATTGTGTGGTCATTTAGGGTATTACAAAGAAAAGAGAGGATGTTGTTGAAGTAAGGCATGTTAATGCTCAGTGTAGCAACCTGCACGTCCCTGCACATCACCCTTCAACAGACGATGTCAGTGTAATAATAAAATTGTCATAGTTGATGAATTGTTAATGGAGATATATTTTAAATGTGAAAATGTCTTTGCAAAAAGATGATTTTCACTTTTTGAATGCATAATGCAGCTTCCTGGTTCCCTCCCTTAAAATGCTGACGTGTGTATCTAAAAGCTGTGGCTGTGATGCAGCATGTGCATTTATGTGTCTCTGTTCCTTGAGCATGTGGCTGTCAGTGTTCTATGAAGCATTTGGAATGATGTGCGACTGTATCTCTCCGTCCATCTTCAGTCAGGGCATCCCACCAAACAAAAGGCTGAAAACATAGCGGAATCCCCTGGCTGGATTCAGAGGTGGCACATCACCTGTGATAATCTTTGGAAGATTAAGTCAGATGGCTGCCCGCTTTACTTGATTTTACTTTTTCCTCCATGCTGGATTGAGGGTTCAGTTTTAACTCTCCCCCTCTGGGGTTAACCCATGGCAAACAGGCAAACTATTGTGTGTGTAAAGAGAAAAACTTAACAGTAGCCGATAAACTTACAGTGAAATGTCTTAAACTGAAAAGGAAAATTTTCCCAATCAAATGGTATTGCATTTCTCAGAATTCCTTTTGCAGGAGAAGATATATCCATTTCCAGCTTTTGAGTTTAGTTCTAAATGAAGCATTTGTGAGTTATCCATTATTTCCCAAAGGACAGAATTCCCAGTTTTGTCCAGTTTAGTGAGCATACGGAATCCATTCTGCTGGCATCCCTCTGCTGCTGGCAGGACAGGAAAAGCAGACTAGAGAATCGTTTGATTTCCATAGGTTAGAGAAGAGCAGCTACTTCAGTGTGTGACCACTGAGGGTTAACTCACTCCTTGAAACTCTGGGCAATGCTCAGTCCTTGCTCTAGGGCTAGAACAATGCACAGCTCAGCCCTACAAGGAAGCCGGGTGCTCTTTGGCTGCAGCCTGACATTAAACTGGCTCATTCTGATGTAATGGGAGCTTTATTTAACTTGCTTGGGGCTCAGTCTCTCCTAAATGGAGCCACTGGAAACTACAGCAGCTGCTCTTCCAAATGCACTTGTCCCATTGGTTGCAATGTAGGATATTTTGGTCTGAGACTGAGCATTTATCATGCTGTAGCAGCACTTGGGGCTGGCTGGACAGAGATTTTGGAAGATTTAGTCTTTGTAAGAAAAACTTTAAAGATATAAAAAGTACTAAATTTCACTGTGATTAATAATCCAGACAAAAATACTGGGACCTTCTAAATAATAGAGGACCAGAAATCTGTTCACCCCACTGCTCTTCCTAGCGCTTTGTAAGAATGCTGAAAGCATGAATGGATGCAGTGGATAAAGTGCAGTATGGGTGTACATCCCATGGGCATGCACATATACCTGAGTGTACACACTTATAGGTATGTATGCATGTAACAATAGAATTTTAGTAACTGTAATTATCACATAGATACTTAGGGATTTGCCATGATATTTTAATGCAGTGACAGCTGTTTCACCTTTGTTTTCCTCTTTATACATCTGTGAGCCAACACAAAAACGTCATCCATTGGGGCAGCCAGTTGATGCTGTGACTTGGTACTTGTGCTCTGTCCTATTCTGCGATGGGAAGCTCTGGTGGTGAGATGCCATGAACAGACGTGCACACTCCTCTGCTGGTTGTGCTTCTCTCACTTAACTCTCACGCCTCTCTCCTTTCTTCCTTCCCTGGGGACCCTCACTCTTGCATAACCCAGCCCGGACTTCACGGAGCGTTTCAACCCCAATGTCCTGAAGGACTCTGCCCTGTCTACACACAAACCCATTGAGGTGAAGGGCCTTGGCGGCAAGGCTACCATAATTCACGCCCAGTATAACACCCCGATCAGCATGTATTCCCAGGATGCTATCATGGATGCAATTGCAGGCCAGGCACAAGCCCAGGGTGGAGAATTTGCTGGGTAAGGTCGTTTCCTAGTGTGGAATGCTCTTTGTCTGCATGGTACATGTAACAGTCCCTGCCTGCATGACATGGTTGCTCTTCCTGGACTCTTTTTTTTATTGGGGTATATTACACATAAAAAGCACATGTCAATACTAGACAATGTTTGAAAGCACTTCCATGTTTTGAAGTTTAAAGGATGGATAGCTAGAAAATCATAGCATGGTTTGTGCTGGAAGGGACCTTAAGGATCATTTAGTTCCAAAAATCTGCCATGGTCAGGGATACTTTAATTTAACTCTTTCCCTTTTAATATTCCTCCTAGAACTGGTAAACCACACAAAAATATATCTAGTGCTCTGTATATGACATTGGATGGCTTTTCATTTCTGATGACCATGCTCTGTAATAACCACTGTATTTATATGTATAGCTTGGGAATAACAGGAAAGGAGGGGGGATTTTTATTGATACATGAAGAATGCAAAATGTTTATTTAGTACTGGCTATTGTTTTATTCCACAGAATGGAGTGTTTTGCTGTATTTTCCCTCTCCCTTGTTTACATACAGTACATGTGTCCTACACATATCCTTTGGACTATGGCAAAATCCACTGATCTTTAATAACTCTGCTTTTACAGTGCATGTTTCTGGAAATCCATCTGATTAACTTATCCAGAGTTGTTACAATTTAATTGAAATTACATGTGCAAACAATGTAGCCAGGTTTCTCTCACCAGGTATCTTTCTACCCAAATTAGACTTCTTTTCATGTGACACCAAAACATAGGTACAGCAACACACTTTTACATAATTTCTTCTCAATATGTTAGCTTCAGGCTTATTCAAAATGAACATGATTCCTGTATTTGCATGTACTCCCTTTTACTGGCCATTTTTCTCTCTTTTTTTATGTATTTTTTTCCCACTAACTTTTTGCATCACAGCTCTCCCTAATGATGGATCCCAAACACTACCCTTAGCTGGTTTTGACCATGACTCAGTGAATGACAGGCGTTGAGTAGACTCATATTTCCGATTAGCCAAGTACAAAGAGAGAAGTTCATTCATTCTGTGTTCTTTGTAATGGTTCACATCTGTCATGGGTTTTATAGGCATGGATTATATGAGACATTTTATCATATATTGGAATTTTCTACTAAATGCTGTAGTATTATATGATGCAAATAGTAATGTTTTTAAAAATTGCCTATTTAAGCAGTCAGATGATTATAAAGTTGCACTGCTGAGTACTAATTATATTAGTATATACATGTACCTTTAAAATAACCAAATTAATGGATACATAGATAAAAAATAGACTGTTATGGAGTGTTGAGTCATTACGGCACGAGCAACAAAGAGTGTGTTAAACATCACTGTGTTGTAACTTTTTTATGTTATTTTTTTTCTCATTTTGAACGTGGAAGCCACCTATTGCATGGGTGTTTTTGAAATGAGATGGTTATTTCCATTAATCCTTTTCTATCAGACAGTTCTAGTGAAACATTATTCTTTGCAGACAACTCCATGACTGCATTCTCCCATATAATGTTGCAAAAAACCATTTTTCTTTAAGATTCACAATGTAAGCTACCATTTAAGCTTTTGCTTCATTTTGGAATGTGACTCCTAAGTCAAACATTCACCTGGTCCCGAGGAGAAACCAATGTTTTTATTCCCACTGCACTGAGAGCTACAGCCTGTTTTGTAACTTTTCTGGCTTTTTTTTTTAATTTATTCATAACATTTAGTGACTATACAATTTTTTCTGTAAGTTTTTTTATTACAATTAACACAGCATTTTTAATCTAGATATTTAGAAGCCTAGCAAGGGTTGTGCTGCTATAACAAAGGCCTACCTACCCACTGACTAATATTCATTCGATTAAACCTTTAGGTTCTTTTGGCCTCCATGATATTCTGAACTTTAACTTGCAGTGGAAATTATATGGTTTTTGTTTGCTTAGTTGGTCAAGTTTGAAATAAGATTATGCTTAATGCAGAAGTATTTGTATGAGAAGTTTTTCGTATGAAAGCAGACCAAATTGTGAACTGATTGATATAGTCTCAATTTTCTGCCTAAAATTCAGTCTAAGTGCTTAATTTTTCTTCTTTTGGCTTTTAATTTCACGTTAGAGGTCAGCCACAAGGTGTCTGTAAGAGATGGTGAGCACACTCAGACTGCAGATCTAAAGGGCAGACAGTACCTGGAAACACTGCTTACGTCTTCTATCAGTGATGAGGGACAGACAGGCTTAAGACAAGGATTCATTTTCTAGTTTCACCGTTTGAAATCAGTGATGCTGTAACTTAGTGAGATCAGAATCAGATTCTTGTCATTTGGAAAATAACCCCCACTTGCTGGATCACCATGGAAAACACAAAGAAAAGCACAGAATTGTTCATACTGCAGTTATTCACACATCACACTGGAACTGAAAGGCAGAAAAATTTGAATGCCCTGGCTTCTTATCTTTTCTTACTCTGTTTTGTTTTAATTGATTTTGCTAAACCAAGAAGCAAGAGTTGGTTGCAGTAAAACCATGTGATTAGTACATTTTTATTACGTTTCTGTCAAACCTCTCCTAAATTTTGTTTTGCAGTTTTAGCCAAATTCACAAGTCGTAAGTAGACATAATTTCAACAATTTTATCAGGATTAAGAACTGACAAGTTAAAGTAACAGAATCAGTAATGTGACTGTGTAGAAACTAAAGTCTTGTGTATCCTCTACAGTAAGTCAGCTTGGCTGGATACTTACCAGTCTACAGGAACTTTTGTTTATTTTTTGGGTTGTGGGGATTTTTACCTCTTAGAATTTTTATTAAATAGTTGGAATAAGTCTAATATCTGAAGTCACAATATTTCACGGTATGTCTACACCAAGGGTAAAACACTGCAGTGTTCCTAGGTTTAACTTATTATCTACTTAAATTAAACCTGGTTAATGACTCCAGGGTACCATTCACATGGTAACCATAGTATATAACGGACTTCAAAAAATAATAATTCCACTGCTACTTACTCAAAGAGGCTTGATTGTCTTTAAAGCTTGTTTTAATGTTAATAAGGTGTGACTACTATGATGATGGGGAAAAGGAGTATTCTTTATTGACTCCTACTAAAATACCTTAGGCTGTAGTGTGAAAACCCTCAAAACCTCTAACCCATTTGGGAAGAATTTTTTTTAGTAACATCAATTTAGAGTAATATGCTTAAAGATGAATAATATTTCTGCACATCCACACCCAGATGGAAAGAAATTAAATTACAAAGAGGTATAACAGAGGTATTAACATGGTTATGTGCATCTTTAGGTTGTCTGTAAGAATCAGCTGTCACATTTAGGTTTATGAAATGCTGATAATCAGCAATGTGCTCTATTTTACACTTCCATGCTGAGTGGCTCGTATGTCCTAGTTACTCATCTACAATGTAATTATGATTTAAAAAAAAGAAAAAGACCTGTTGAATTAAAGGCAGATTTGGAAATATTCCAATGTATTGCATTAATTTAGTTCAATTTATATGAGCATGTTTCATTCTGCTAGGGAAGGTTAATTCACCAAGCTCCATTTCCTGCCTTAATCATCTACCATAAGGATATTAATATGTCCTGTTAATGCCACACGTTACTACTGTGAAATTTGTGGTCCAGCCTTTAGCTCTAGTTTTTTTAAATACCCTTGAGTTAATAGCATAATTATACATAAACCTTTAAACTGTTTTTTTGTATATTGGTCATAATATAGGAACAAAGCATTTCAGCAAGAGGATTTAGTCAAAGGAATTTGTACTGTCTGTAACTTGCACGGTGCTGTTGCCACAGTGGTCTGTGGTTGAAGCCAGCAGAGGTTTATAATCCACTTTACAACAGTATGCAGCTGGGAAATTTGTTATCACACTGCTTAAAAACAGCAGTTTTTTTAAGCTTCAGCAAGATTAACAAGTCAGTCTGGGGATATAAAGTTAGCTGTTGGCCCAATTCAGACAGTCTCGGATAGCAGTCGTACAGGGCAAGGTACTGGGTGCTCAGCACCCTCAAACGCCACTGGGGTCATCTTTTGGGGAAAATTAACAAGACCCTTTACAGTGACAGAACTTTTCAGCATAGCCAAGTGTCAGAGGCAGCAGAACAGTTCTGAGTGGGTTGCTGACTTACTGTTGGTATTACAGAGAATCTCTTTTCCATGCAAAGACTGTTCCTGCTCCCACACTTTCTGCCCTGCCTCAGCAAGCCCTTCAGCCATATGTGGTGGGACTACTGCTCACTCTCCTGTCTTCCTCTATGAGCAACACCAGTGGAAGCCACTGGTGGCACACCCTTCCCCAAATGAACAAGTCTACATCACGCTTTCTGTACCTACTGGTGTTTAGATATTGTAAGGATAGTGATCTGGGAAACATGAGCTAAAAGAGGAGGTGGAAAATGCTGCTTCTTCCTACAGGACACCTTCCACATTGAGAAACTTTTTACATAACTTGTATGTTTTGTGGCAGAGTTTAAACTGAAGAGTAAGGCTTTTTTCTAAATTCACCTTTTTTCCAAGCTGTGCTCCATCACATAGATGATTGTGCTGAAACATGCAAAAAAACCAAAAAAATTAACTGGGGTTTGTGCTGTGCTGGGTCCTCAAGAAAGTGACAAGTTTGTATATATTGGGAGTTATGAAGAACATAAATACTCCTCCAATAAAAACTGAAAATTCCTAGAGAGATGGGGTGCTTTTGGGTCCATATAAACACTGATCATGTTTCTGAGCCCCTTGTTGTCTGACCTGAAGAGCACATCCCATGCTATTATGTCCAAATCCATCAAAACCATGTATTGATGAAGAGGAGTGTGTCAGCTGGAAAATACTGATATTTAAAGCACTACCTGGTAACATTTTTCATCACAGTGTATGTTGTTGCTGTATGTAGGATGTCAGACACGCTTCTTGGCTTTCTCATGATTCCTCTCAGGTCTTACAGACTCAACATCTCTGTAGATTTTCTCTGCACAATGGTGTCTTAGAGAACACTGAGTTTGAGCCTGAACCAAGGAAGAAACTTTTATAGCAGGGGACTGCTCCTGGAACTTTATGGCAGTGACTTAGTTGGACCAAATGGCCCTTAACTTTTAACAGAACCATTTCTCAGTTTTCCTGAAGTTGAGCTTGCTGCTTGCAAAGCTCTTTATGGAATAACAAGTTAAAGCTGTTACAGTAAATCACATGCTTCAAAAATAGACCTTGTATTTAGAGAAGCCATGGAGCCAAGTTACTCCAAGCATACATCATCCCCTCAGTGTATATTCCTGCAGCTCTGTTAATAGTTAATTTTAACTGTATGCTATGCAGAAGTTATTTTCACAGGGGGGAAAAAGGCACTATTAAATTACTAAGCCTGTTTCTAGCTTGAATCATAAATCAAAGAGAGGTTATTTCACTTGTGCTACAGACCTTGGTAGCTTTGATTTTAGATGTGCACAACTGAAAGTTTTTTCCTGGACATATCGCTTTGCAAGGTGAGTAGACATGTTGCAAGACTCTGAGATCCATTCTGTTGCTAAAGATTTCAGATACAGCATATGTATGCAAGTCTTGAGTACAAGTCTAGACTTCTTTTGCTTCACAGGTTTAGTAGACAATGAATCCAAACTTGTGGCAGATGGAAGCTTAATTCAGAGTTTGACAAAGAATCATCTCTAGAAAGAGCTATAAAAGCCTACCACATTATTTTTATAATGGAATATGTTTTTTATTTCTAATTACAATCTCAAAGTTCACTGGCCCAATGCTACAATTTAAAGGCACAACATAAAACAGTATCAACATGAAGTCATTTTTATAAGAAATAATATGGGACAGGAATTCTCAGAGAAAAAAATGTTTTTGCTTGGCATACTCTTCTTTATCACCACACATTATTCTAACCACTGTAAGCTTGTGGCTTCCTTGGCTGAGGAATCATGAACAGATATTTCCAAGCATTTTCATGCTTTTTTGAATATGCAGATTTGATGATAACAGGCCATTCCAAAGATAGAATGAGGCATAACATAAAATTGATCAGTGTATTTTTTTAAGAAGTGGTCATTTCAAAGCCGTGTGGTGGATTGCTGTTACTCTGGGTGATAAGCTGAGACCCGAGAGGTTGGGAGGAAAGCCACCACGTACTGTTTCCCAACATTTCACTTTCTACATTGCAGTGCCCTCCCTCTTAAAGACCCTCACGTAGACAGTGCCTCCCCGGTGTATCAGGCTGTGCTGAAAACCCAGAACAAGCCTGAGGATGAGAGCGAGGACTGGAGCCGCCGCTCTGCCAACCTGCAGTCCAAGTCCTTCCGCATCCTTGCGCAGATGACTGGGACAGAGTACAGTAAGTGGAAAAACAAAGCATCCTCCTCATCCTGATTTTAGATTCCTGTCGTTATGTATCACCCCAGTATTGGCCACTGATACTGAAGGAATACTCATGTCCAGACTCGTAGTTTTCAGTCCAAGATCCTGGGTGCAACCAGGGAGAATAGGAAATCAAAGTGTACAGTCTCACCTTATGCTTTGTGAAGAAAATTCTTTGATCTGCCAGGGGTCTCACCATAAAAGTGTAACAGACTATACAGTAAAAGAGCATTTGGGACCCCATAGTTCTTCCTACTTACAAATCAAGTTTCTGCAGTGCAATCTTTCGTTCTCCAGCAGCCTAGACGTACAAAGCTGTCCATTCATTAGAAAAAATGATAAATGAGTCATGTCTCTTGTAACAGCCTTTTATAGAAGGGACTTCTGGAGGTCAAAAAAAATCATGGATCACCATTTGTATTAAATCTATGGTTCTGTCAGCCCTGTTATCTAAACCTAGATCTGTTATGAATGTCACAGGAGACTGAACTTTGCTGCTTGTTGCCTATGGAAATGTTTTTCTGACCACCTGGTACCTCACAGCTGGTGTCTGATCTAGAGATAAGGAAGTTCAGGGCCCTTTCCCACATCAGGGGGACATACTTGGTGTTTCCTCTGAATCTGCTGCTGATACCTCTTGTGCTTTCCTGCAAAACAGCAGGACCTCTCTGTAGAATCATTGCCTACAGCTGTGAAACACTGCTAATAAATGAATGACAAAGTAGTTGTAATAGCTCCATTCCTCCTAACATCCTCCTTCCTATCTCTAGGGAACCACTCTTCCTCATGATATTCTTACAAATTCTACTGCTGCAAAGTCAGCATGAATGCACCTTTAGATAGGCTTTGATATGTTTCTAAGGAACTTATCATTTCATCATAAAGCCAATTTTATCTTTCTTTCTTTTTTTAACTGAAATGTTTTCTGTCTACAGTGCAAGATCCAGATGAAGAAGCCCTGAGGAGGTCAAGGTAGGCAACTCCCTGTGAAAAATATGGCTTTTTCCTTCCTGATAACCCAATAATGTTTTAAAATGGCATTAATATGAACCTCCTTTATTATATTTTTGTCCTAAAATATTCTACTACATTTACTTAAAAATCACTAAAATTAAAATACTATCAATGAGAGGCATTTGAATGACAAGGATAACAAATTAGCATGTTTTTAGGAGAGACAGTGCAAAATTCCTGGAGTGTGTGTTCAAATCTCAAAGCTCTTTGCTCATGCAACTTTCCTGTACTTTACTGGGTGTGTGAATGTGGTGAACTCCAAGCCCTGTGTAACTACTTGATTGTGTAACTGGATGAAAATATTTAATGTTGTGATAGCACTGAAATTTGTGAGCAATTTATTTGGATGACCCTCTGCTTCTCCTTAAATGATACAGTAAAGGAGTTGTTTCCATCCATACCCATAATCATTAGCTTATGTTTTGTTTGAAATAAATATGACCCAAATTTATAGAATACAGAAGCACAGGACTGCTTTTGCTAGTGGATAAATGTATTTGCTTTATGTGATCTTTCAAAAACACTTAAAAAAAAAAGTGGGTATGTTCAGAGATGTAATATGGAATTAAAGATTTATCATCATCCTGCATAGTCAGGAAATAGATGTATTAGAGATTCTTATGTTGAGCTAAAACTGCAGTTGAATCAAGAGCATCCTGGGTGTAAGCCTTATTTGCTGTTTGCATACTTCAAATCCCTATTTCACATGAGCCACTCTAAGCCGCTGGCTGGGTTTGTGACGTGTTTGATACTCAAACCACCTCCTTTTCTTTTTCTTTTTGCTGCCACATGGCTTTCTCAAAGGTTCGGAGCTTTTGATCACAGTGCTAGTTACAAATGTTGAATCAGTGAGAAAGAAATCTGGTATCTTCCCTGTGAGAATACGAGTGTGCTTTCAGTTGATGTTTGCTATAAACCTTCCACTGCAGTTCACCCAAGTTCATGGCTGAGTGCCCGAACATCAGGCTTGACATTATATCCCTCAGGGATTTATTTCTTCCCTCAAATGTGCAAGCCTAATTCTCATTAAATGTATTGTGCATTATCTGTTCTGATGTAATAGCACACATCTAAATCCTTACTATGATGGGATTTAGAGCATTGTGATGAACTTAGAGGAGTCCCCCATTCACATCTGAGAGTAATATGTTGTTTTAAAGGAATAATCTTTCTAGGTGTAGTCTGTAGCTTTGGAAAATATTAGATACTGGAAATTTTAGGTGGTATCAGATATGTTGACAATAATTATCTAGTAACACATCAACACGTGGAAATTGCACGTTCTATCTCCAAGTATGTAACTCTATCCACTGTGCTTTGCATGTTTTCTGCAGTTTTGAGGTGTCCCTGTGTTATCCTTTGTTTTCACAAGTAGATTCTGGCTATGTTTAGGCACAGCTGAGCAGGTTTAAGGGCATTCATTGGCAGTGGAGTCAAGGGAACATACACTTGGTAGTTACACAGGTACCATGCAACTGGCGTGAGCTCTGGGGCAAGGAATGCAATGGGGTCTCCTCCCTGCCTCCCTGACAGTGCCTGCCCCGTGTGGGTGGGTTGGAGCCTGCCTCAAACATTGCACACACTCCACTGCAGATGTGGTAGCAAAAGCCCTGGCTGTGCATGTATCAATCATACACAGCTCTTTGGGGGCCGTTGGACCCTTTCTGTTTCATCTCTTGGGAAGGCTCCTGCCACTTTGGATTTTGTAAGGCATGGAAAGACCTGTGTTAGATGTGCAGTCTCCATGCTTGAACACTGCTCTTCCAGCACAGTAATGGAGTAGAAAGTCCTCTTTGGTATCTACTCCAGATCCAGCCGATACAACCACACCTTTCTCCACATCCACAGTTTGGGATCATCTGGAAGGTTTCCTGGGTTCCTGAAAGCAAAAGGTTGAACTGCAGAACCTGAGTCTTGCCAGATTCAGTGTTGCATTAATCCCCTGCTTTGCTGGAGTTCTGGAAAAATCCTTCATGTTCCAAAAGTTAAACTGCCAGAGATTTTGGAGGGCAGGGGATTTTGGTCTCAGGGCATGCTGTGAGCAATCTCTCTGATGCTTTCTCTTGCAAGAACTGCATGAAATGCTGATCAGATTTCTCCCAAACTCTTGGGGAACAGGGGGTGATACGTGTAGCTTATTTTTGGCAGAATTGTTTTACATAAAAATAGTTACTTTTAGATTGCTGCTTCTAACTTCATGACATATGTCCTAAATGTAACCCATGAAGCTTGAGTATTTTTGGGTGGCAGAATATCTCTTTCAGTTAATATTGATGAGCACATTGCATGACTGTCCCTTGCTCGTGCTGCTGCTATTTTGAAGGCACACATGAAATTATAACTTGCTATGAAAACTTTCCATTGCTGGTGTGATGATTATGGTGGAATATTTTCTGGAAAGAAGGGATCCATTTCAAGCCAAACACATGTTTCTGAATACCTTTTCTTGAATGGAGGGGTAATATCTTGAAAGCAGTAAGGGAATTCTTAAGTTACATGTCAGACCTACTGTAGCTGGTACACTCCGGTGTAACTGGAAAAAAATGCCATCAGGAAGTTTCAGCTAGGAATACTTTATATCTTTAAATTACTTAAAAATGTAAAAGATATTTTGAGAAGTCATACATCAAGACTCCTTTAGGAGCGTTGCTTGCATGACACCATGTTATTAAGAACAGAAGATTTAGAAATATCAGTGAATTTGTTGGCATTTACTCTGTTTATTGTTTTGTGCTTTCTTCAGCTTGAGAAGTAAAACCAGCTCAGTCTGCTCATTTCTGTTTGGCTGGTTTCACTCTCAAGTTCCACTGCATTAACACAATTAATTGTCTTGTGTTTTGAGTGTAAATAATGAAGGAAAAAATTACCTTGTTTGCAATGACTCGAATACGTTTTGCAAATAACAAGAACATTTTATTTTCCATTCTGTTTGATATACTTCTCCTTGACTGTGCTCTCATCTCACATCCTCCTTCTTCCCCTTTTTATTTACAAAACCTGAATTTAAACTATAGAGTGTCTAGAAAAGGCTAAATCCTGAGAGGTGCTGAACATGGCTTGACAGCCCCAGTGCGCAGTCAGAGGTAGCTGGAGGGGGGCAGGAAATGGCCAATACTTCACAGGACTCTGCTTTGAAAATCCCATGTTGTTCTGCTTTGTGACACCTGTGACCAGAAATATTTATGCAAATGTCAACACTAATACTCACTAATACTGAGAAAAGCTATAGAAAAGTGCTGCTTAAACCTGTGGGTGATGGTCCTTGCAGGAAGGACAGCAGAATATGGGCTGGCCTAAGTGTTACAGAATGGAAAATACTTGCATTTATTTTGCACTTTTATGAGTTAACTGTCTCTGACTGCTCAGCTGGGGGGAAGGGAGGGAAAAGCCAAGAGAAACTGCTGGCAGGAAAACAATGGGATTACACTGCATTTCTAGCAAAAGCAGCCCTGTAATACCAAGCACAAGTCAAAGAATAAGAAGTTATATCAAGTTACTTCTCAGAAACGAACAGCTGCAAAACCTTTCACACGTGTCCAAAAAGCATCACCCAGCCTTCATTGTGCTGATTTGACAGCTGAGGAGAAAATCCAAATAAATTGCCATTGCCCTAGTTATAAGGCAGGGGAGTGGTAGCCATGGTCCCTAACCCCTTTCTTTCTCCCTCCTTTCTTTCTTCTGTGTTTGTGTCTCTCTCTGTCTCTGTCTCTCTCTCTCTTTCTTCATGCCACAGGGAAAGGTTTGAAACGGAACGTAACAGCCCACGCTTTGCCAAATTGCGCAATTGGCATCACGGGCTGTCAGCGCAGCTCCTTAATGTTAAAAGCTAAAAGCCCACATTTATGGGGCAAACACAGACAGAGTGACAGTCAAACATTAACTGCTGTCCTGAGTTAGAGCCCCAGCGTGTCACACGCACTGCTGGGGCCTTGCTCTGTAGGTTTCTGTTGTTAGCCTGTTAGTCATTCACTGTCACCACAGCTAAAAATATCGATACAAAACCCAGTTCATGTTCTTCATTTTAAAGTAGTTTTAGCTTTACTCCTTTCCTATCTCAGACTTCAGTATACAGGAAAACATCACTATTGTAGCCCCTGACTTTAGAGGAAAATGAGAGGGAAGTTGCTGACAGTAGTTCTTTAGGAGGAAGAAGAATGAGACTTTTACTGAGTTTTACTGCTGTAAAGATAATGAAGTAGGAGAAAGTTGAAAAGGAAAACTGACTGGCCTAGACATTGCTAAATGTACAACATAGTTAGTGTGCATAATTGAATGATGCTGTTTGAAATAAGATATTAGCAATGTGAAGTTATATTTCTTCAATATATTATACTGGTAGAGGTTATTTGCTGAAACCATTGCTGTAAGTTTTGTGTTGGAAATTTAAATTTATCATTATATAAAAGTGAGACTTAGCTGGGGTTGCTCAGGATCTGCAAGGAAATGACATTTTGCTAGAGGTGATTTAGGAATGAGAAGAATATATCATACTACTGTTGCACTGAAGCTTTTAAAAGCATCTTTAAAGTTTTAAGGAATATGTTGCCCATTCTGTATTGCTCTTGCTTTGACCCACACTTTTTTCTGTATATAGCAGCATGCTTTATCTGAAATAAAACGTTTTAAAACTAAAATAATTATGTGCCTGTTTTACAAAGTGTTTTATTCTGTTTTAAAACAGTAACTGCTTCAACTGATTATTGAAAGAAGGAGACCTTTTCTTTCGTAAATAGAAAATTTGGTCAAAAAGCTTTGCATTATTAGCTAGAATTATTATTGACCTTTAGGTTGTCTGAATTAGAATAAACTTGACAAAGCAGTTGAAAGAACAACAGAAAGGAACAAAATATTTTACTAAGTGTGAACAAAGCATAATTAATAGATAATAACATAATTAATAGATGTTAGATGACAACCTACTGATAATATTGTTTAGCATTTCCATTTAAATAACTTGC